TCCCCCTGGTCCAGGGGTGGGTTTGCTTCAGCTGCCATTTTTCGTTCCCACAGGGACTCCCTCCTTTCTCTTTTTGAACAGAAATTAAATTTGAATGTTCTCAGAAATTCAATTACGATTTTGACTTTTTCTTTCCTCAAAATGTGATTGATTGCCCCCGCGCGCACACTCAGTCATTTGGAAATCTCGACAAATTTGTTCCTTCCTTTGTATTCCAGGAATATTTGCTCCGAAAATCAATTCTTAGAATTCATTTCGCGGTCGGCGCCGCGCGGTAAATGCGAGCACGAATTCCAGACGCGCGCTCTCCATTTTTCTGTGCGCGCGGCGTCTTCTTATTAGTGCTGCCTCGATGTATGCAACCCTCCCAATCGCCGCGAGCAACAGGTTGCCTACTTTCGCATTCGGCAGGCGTTCGTTTCTCTCGCAACACGTTTCTATCTATGTTCCTTCAAGTATTACACAAAAAAATGTTATCCATGAAATTGTGCTGTTTATTTTGAAATTCTGGCCCACATGTTTCATTTTATTGTATAGATTTTGCATAAATAAAATATGTTTTTAAATATTTCTTTTGGATTTGGTTTACATTCTCAATATTTTCTAGAATTTGCCAGTATAAAAAATTTTGAAATAATTTTTTCATTGACTTGTGTTTGAAAGATAATATTTTTATAAATTAGATTTATTTTATGTTCAGGACGTTCAGAATTCATTAGCACATAAAATCAGAGGTAAAAGAAATTTTAATGCATTTCGGAACAAATCGTAGCAAGAAGTATGGTAAGAAGTAATGTCCCAAATTTTTCAGAAATATTTCAACAGTCTTACATTATAATCATTAACAAGTTAATTAGCCACATTTATTTCTTTTCTTCTCCATAGACAATGGAATGTGATAGAATGGAATTTGGTTTACTAGAAATTTTCCGTGGTTATGCCATACCTAATTTTAAATTTCCTTAAATTTTCTTATGCCAATAATAAAATAATATTTTTTTGTTTTGTAATGAAATCGCTAAATCATAAATGAATTTTATCTGATAAATTTTGATCTCAGTCTGCAATTTAATTAGTTTTTAAACTTTGTAATTAGTATTCTCTTACATTAATTTTTTCATTCACATTAAATAAAATCTGAGCTCTTTAGCAATACTCAATTATTTCAGTGATATTATTTTCACACTCATATAAATTAAGCAAACTTGTATTTGGCTGACTTGTGTTTTTATTATTTTTTTTATTTTTTTTACATTTCATGTTATGTAATCGGTACACATAATCTCTATGTTGTCATATATGCCTATAGATTAAATTTACAGACAAATGAATCAGTGTTACTTTATTCTGTGTAACTCTGCTGATAACTCTGCCGATTTCGCGGTGGGCTTTGTTTGAGGGGGCGTGGCACGAGTGCCCGTTGGAGCCAAAAATCTGGGTGGGTCCTGGCCGTTTTCCAAAAAAAGAAAACGCGGAGAAGAATTTTGTTTTTGCAACCGATTGACGCAGCGGTTTTTACGTGGAAGGAGCTGAAAAATTCCGCGAATTCTGCCAAAATTAATTTACATTTTATATTTAAGTATTCTAATTCTCCCGAAACGATTGCTGAAATTTGCGAAAACGAATCTTCTTTTTTTAAGCCCTAGGTTGAATTCGCAAGTGACACCGAAAATCCACGCAATTTGTTTTTGATATTTTTATTTAACCTCGGAACGTGTTGCGAGGTTTTGAGAAAGCGACCTTGGTCTGCAATCGAACCGCAGGAGCTCGAAACGGGCAAATTATACGAGGGGGCGTGGCGGCAGGCGCGCGGTCGTTGGAGCCAAAATTTACAACCGGAACCACCGGGCTCGTATGTATGTAATTAACATGCAACATACTCTGGATATGCAAATTAACGACAATTGCACGACACTCGTTTTCATCATTCTCAGCGAATCAAGGCAGTTGATAATTTATTAGTTTACTTGAGTAAAAAATAATTAAAAAGTAAAATAGTAATAATTGCTCGCATTAAAATAAAAGTCATTCTTTCTGAAAATTAAAATAGGAAGAAATATTAAAAATGAAATAAAACAATGCAATAAAATATTTTACTATCCGAGCACAATTTATATTGGTAATCTTACAAGAGGCGCGACCTATACACCAGTATTTAAAAATTAGGTTGGTATGTCGCGCCTGCTGTAGTGGTTTTATGTCGCGCCTACTGAAGTGGTTTTATGTCGCGCCTACTGAAGTGGTTTTATGTCGCGCCTGCTGTAGTGGTTGATAAAGAAAACCGGTAATTATAGCTCACAATCACCGGGACTGCAGGAAAGAATAAGGGCCTTTGGGATGGGTTCAGAAGGGGAAGACAATCTCTTAACTGATTGCAAAAGACGTGACCTACCACCAATGTACGGGGAAAGGGGTTGTTTTTATATGTCGCGCCTCTTGTAATGGTTCACTACAACAGGCGCGACATATGCACGCAACGCCTGTGGTAGGTCGCGCCTCTTGTAATCGACCACTACAACAGGCGCGACATATACAATTAATAATGCTAAAAAAAAAACGAAAGCAGCGAGATTGTGTGCACACCACGAACCAGACCACCCCACAAACCGGCAACTCGGAGGTGGGCAACCCCCCAAGATTAATTTTTGCAGAAGCCGCGAGCGAGGGGTGGAGGCGCAGCGAGGTCGAGGACGTGGGGAAGGCCGTGCGGAGGGCGAGGACAAAAGGGCGGCTGTGTTCGTGGGGGGGCTCCGCAGGAGCCCCCCCACGATCCCCGCCCTTTTGTCCCGCCCGGAGCCGGCCTTCACCACGTTCTCGGGCGAGCGCGCCTCCAGCCCGAAGCTCGCAAACCCACAACGGAGTTGCCCACGAAGGGAGTTGTGGGCACCCACACCGTTTGCTTTCAAAACACCCTTTGCAGACAACTCCCTTCGTGGGCAACTCCGTTGTGGGTTTGCGAGCTTCGGGCTGGAGGCGCGCTCGCCCGAGAACGTGGTGAAGGCCGGCTCCGGGCGGGACAAAGGGGCGGGGATCGTGGGGGGGCTCCTGCGGAGCCCCCCACGAACACAGCCGCCCTTTTGTCCTCGCCCTCCGCACGGCCTTCCCCACGTCCTCGACCTCGCTGCGCCTCCACCCCTCGCTCGCGGCTTCTGCAAAAATTAATCTTGGGGGGTTGCCCACCTCCGAGTTGCCGGTTTGTGGGGTGGTCTGGTTCGTGGTGTGCACACAATCTCGCTGCTTTCGTTTTTTTTTTTTTTTAGCATTATTAATTGTATATGTCGCGCCTGTTGTAGTGGTCGATTACAAGAGGCGCGACCTACCACAGGCGTTGCGTGCATATGTCGCGCCTGTTGTAGTGGTCGATTACAAGAGGCGCGACCTACCATGAGAATACTTGCATATGTCGCGCCTGTTGTAGTGAACCATTACAAGAGGCGCGACATATAAAAACAACCCCCTTCCCCGTACATTGGTGGTAGGTCACGTCTTTTGCAATCAGTTAAGATTGTCTTCCCCTTCTGAACCCATCCCAAAGGCCCTTATTCTTTCCTGCAGTCCCGGTAATTGTGAGCTATAAATACCGGTTTTCTTTATCAACCACTACAGCAGGCGCGACATAAAACCACTACAGTAGGCGCGACATAAAACCACTACAGCAGGCGCGACATAAAACGGGATACCAACCTAATTCTGAGAGAGTGGTGTATAGGTCGCGCCTCTTGTAAGATTACCATTTTTTCGAGCGGGCTCCAAATGCGGGCGGCACGCGGCCACGTGTTCATCCCCCTGGTCCAGGGGTGGGTTTGCTTCAGCTGCCATTTTTCGTTCCCACAGGGACTCCCTCCTTTCTCTTTTTGAACAGAAATTAAATTTGAATGTTCTCAGAAATTCAATTACGATTTTGACTTTTTCTTTCCTCAAAATGTGATTGATTGCCCCCGCGCGCACACTCAGTCATTTGGAAATCTCGACAAATTTGTTCCTTCCTTTGTATTCCAGGAATATTTGCTCCGAAAATCAATTCTTAGAATTCATTTCGCGGTCGGCGCCGCGCGGTAAATGCGAGCACGAATTCCAGACGCGCGCTCTCCATTTTTCTGTGCGCGCGGCGTCTTCTTATTAGTGCTGCCTCGATGTATGCAACCCTCCCAATCGCCGCGAGCAACAGGTTGCCTACTTTCGCATTCGGCAGGCGTTCGTTTCTCTCGCAACACGTTTCTATCTATGTTCCTTCAAGTATTACACAAAAAAATGTTATCCATGAAATTGTGCTGTTTATTTTGAAATTCTGGCCCACATGTTTCATTTTATTGTATAGATTTTGCATAAATAAAATATGTTTTTAAATATTTCTTTTGGATTTGGTTTACATTCTCAATATTTTCTAGAATTTGCCAGTATAAAAAATTTTGAAATAATTTTTTCATTGACTTGTGTTTGAAAGATAATATTTTTATAAATTAGATTTATTTTATGTTCAGGACGTTCAGAATTCATTAGCACATAAAATCAGAGGTAAAAGAAATTTTAATGCATTTCGGAACAAATCGTAGCAAGAAGTATGGTAAGAAGTAATGTCCCAAATTTTTCAGAAATATTTCAACAGTCTTACATTATAATCATTAACAAGTTAATTAGCCACATTTATTTCTTTTCTTCTCCATAGACAATGGAATGTGATAGAATGGAATTTGGTTTACTAGAAATTTTCCGTGGTTATGCCATACCTAATTTTAAATTTCCTTAAATTTTCTTATGCCAATAATAAAATAATATTTTTTTGTTTTGTAATGAAATCGCTAAATCATAAATGAATTTTATCTGATAAATTTTGATCTCAGTCTGCAATTTAATTAGTTTTTAAACTTTGTAATTAGTATTCTCTTACATTAATTTTTTCATTCACATTAAATAAAATCTGAGCTCTTTAGCAATACTCAATTATTTCAGTGATATTATTTTCACACTCATATAAATTAAGCAAACTTGTATTTGGCTGACTTGTGTTTTTATTATTTTTTTTATTTTTTTTACATTTCATGTTATGTAATCGGTACACATAATCTCTATGTTGTCATATATGCCTATAGATTAAATTTACAGACAAATGAATCAGTGTTACTTTATTCTGTGTAACTCTGCTGATAATATGCATATATTTTATCATACACATTATTGACTATTTATATTAACATGTGAGGTATTACTTCAATTGCGGCGCGTTGTCTATTCACCTTCGGCGGATGCCAAACCTGATCCCCTTGGGCTGAGTGTCCTGCTTACTGGACATGGCTTCCAGGGCTTGCAACAGATCTCCGGCACTCAGGCTAAGGGCGTCTTTTAGTTCGGCGTCAAAATTGGCAGCAGCCCCTGCTGATTAGAACATAATTAAATTTGGTTGTTACGGTTATCGGAGGAGGACGCACCTTTGTTCGCCTCTTTGAGGATCTCGATGACCGCGTCCAAGTCGGTTGGATTTACGATGATATCGCCGGTGAGTGGTCGGAAGCTGGTGGCGATCAAGTCCGCTGCGTCAGGCCAGGCCTCGCCAGGACCACCAAGACCGCGGAAACGCACCACAGGGTGGTAGGGCAGCAGGCTTTGGTGACGTTTCTCGGCAAAGCTCTTTAACCGTGGCAAGATGGACGTGGAAAGGCGGATTCCCTGATGAGCAGCGCTGACCCATGGCGAATCTTCTAGAAATATTTTACCTGAATCGTCAACGTTTAAATCGGGGGAGGGAAATTTAATAACTTGTACTTGAATGTGATTAATTTCTCTGCACGGACTGATAATAGGAACCGATGCTAAAGAAATGAGCATATTTTTTACTATAAAGTGTTTTATAAAATTAAATTTTATTGAAACTTCAATGCTTTATGCAATGCTCTTCTGTAATTTTTAATTGTACATTCTTATTGAGCTATTCCATTAAAAAATAAATACTTAAGATTTCTGTAAAAAGTATCCATGCAAAATTTTTCAAATTTTTGTTTTCTGGTGAGATATTTAATGAAAGCAATTAAGGAAATTATTTTAATTTTGTTTTGATATACATTATTAAAATGTAATCATTGCATCATAAACAAGAAAACCATATTTTCGACTTAACAGAAAATATGAATGTTAAAATACAATTACTGCGAAACATTAAAAAAACAAATAGTGAAATAGCTTTATTTTTTTTTCAAACCCACATCTTATAGTTAATATACAATTAAAGTAAAGGACACCAAATAATATTAAATTTATAAGAAACTTAATTAACAACAAATTGATCACAATTTTTGCACAAATTTGCAGATTTGTGAGGAATTTAATTTTATTTTTTCAATTTGAAACCATTTAAATGGAATTCAAAAACGACAAAATTAAAAAAAAAATGTCCATAAATTTGAGAATGAAAAAATTGTAACTACATTTTCTACCTGGTGTCGGCTGGTGAGTCGCAAATGCCGCCTCCATGAGGACAGCGGAGGCCACAAACAGTGGGAACAGCATATCTTGTGTCGGTCGGAGGCAGTTGAATGTGGCGGCGGTTGGCCGAAACCCCTTTATATGCGGAGGCAGCCGCCGCTCCGCAAACACCCTAAGCACACTAATAAGCAAAATCTTGCTTCTTTTCCTACGAACAATGCCTTTGAAGCGTTATTAAATTACCTGCTTATTCGCCAGGAGACGCAAGGCTGCTGCGCTGCGCACAGTGGTCCATACGTACTTACGCCTACCGCTTTCCTGGAAAGGCTGGAAAAGACAAGAGGGAAAAAGAGAACCTTTTTATTTTCCGTCTTTTGTCGTTGCAAACGAGAGCCGCACACACATATATTATTTCTTTTTGTCTCTCTCTATTACAAGGAAAAACCTCCGACTGCGCTTTTGCATTATCCGTGCATGTGAAACGTGCTTGTCTGTCAGCACACTCTTTCATAGCGTTGGTAATTGTTAATTATGTGCGACTTAGGGTAGGATATTAAATAAAATAATCAATGTTTGAGCGCTTAGCTAAACCCTTCAGGCTCAGCTGCGATGACGAAGTTTCCTCATTGCGACTCTTCTTATAAGAAAGGATTAAATAGATTTCATCATAGATCGCAATTTATGGTAATAATTGTATTATTAATCATGATTATTGTATAGTATTTTTCTGTGTGATGAGTGTTTGCCAATAATGGGCAATAGGATTATTTATATAAATGACTTGTTGATATTTCCAATAAAAGAAGACTTATTTAATTCTTTGTGAATCATTAATTAAGGCAAATTAAGGGTTGTTAAAATTGAAGCGAGCAATGAAGCTTTTAGTTCAGTAATTAATTTATAGAGTTAATATGTTTTCTGTATTGAACAATGTATATTACACATAAGTTTTATTTAATCGAATCTATAGATACAATTGCTCCAAACTAAAATGTAAAAATAAATTATCTCCAACAATTGAGTTTTTCTATTGTTTAAATTGAGTAATATTTTAAACACATTGCAACTGATGAACATCATCATAATTTAGGCAATCAGACTACTTCACCAAATAAAGAGATTGAAATCACCACAGCCTCAAAATTGCTTTTGGAAAAAAGGTCAAGGAGAAATAAGTTCGTTCTTGACGAGAACAGACGGTAGTGCTCTCGACCGCTCCTTTACTGCTTTCAGCCTTTGCAGTAAACTTTGCAAGTCAGGCTTTACATCTTCAGGTTCTGGCGGAGTTTCCTCCTGTACTTCTTTTATTTGTGGAGGACTTGGAACTTGAGGAACTATTGGGTCTGGTGACGAAGGGCCAGAGTCGAGGGAAAAGTGAAGTTCTGCAAGTTCCAGCAAGCTGACTTCACCGAGGGGCAAGTCGTCCCCGCTCAATTCGAAGAAAGACTTGCGTCCTCGGATTTGGGAAGTTGGTTCAGCAACACTCGGAGGTGTGAGGGTCAATTTGGTTGAGTTGAGCTGCACTGGAGGATGGCACTTACTATCGGCCTGGGGGAATTTCTGAATTGGTGAAACTGGCTGTATCTTGATTTGGGCAGGTTGGGGCTTGGCAAGTAAGGACAAAGTTGGAGACTGTGATGCAGCGTGAGGCACCGGCTTCATTTTGTTAGGCATTTGCCACCAACGAGACAAAAGATCCTCAATAGATTCTTCTTCCTCTAAAATATGATAGACAAATAAGTAACTGAAAGAAAATTATTTCAAGATAAAAAATTAGCTTGTGTGAACAATTTCATTCATAGGGTTTTTCTTAAAAAATCTTTTGATGTTTCTTTTTTATTGAATTTGATCAAGCAACTTAACTTAAATAAATAAAAATCTAGGCATATGTTTTTACCTTCAACAGTGTGAAAATTTGGTTGAAAAGGTGATCCTTTCACACCACTTGGCATTAAAAATGGTGTCACTGGAAGTTGTCGAAGTTTAAACGAGTCAAACTGAAGTGCTGAAAATATTTCAAGTTTGATATTTTAATTATCTAGCTATTGTTAATAACAAAAAAATAATATACCTGGCGATGGGGCAATGGAATGCCTTCGCTCAACCTGGGAGCAGTTGCGGTTGGCAGATTTAAGTTTTGCCTCCAGTTGATTAATTGTATCAGAGGGCGTTCCACTTGTTAATAAACTTCTAAATCTTGCCACATCTTGATTCAAACTCCAACCAGGTTGCTTCTCAGCCAATTCGAATAAAAGATTGAGCTCATTTATCCCTTGGGACAATTTTCTAGCTAAAGCGGATACTCCTCCAAGGTCATAATCTTGGCTGGTGTTTGCTTTTCTCTCAGGACTGACGCTACTGACTCTCTGGTGTGGAGGGTTAAGAGATCCTTCAAGGCGGGTCAACATAACATCAATTTCGTTTTTCAGCTTCAAAACAACACCTTGAAATTCTAAAAGAAAAAGAAAACAATAAATTAGGTTTACATGACAAACCAGTTTTTGAGTTTTCTTAATTAGAATCACACCTTTCATATTTGCAGGGGAGCTCGCCAATCTTTCTTTCAACTCCTGGGCAGTGTTGAGCAGGTTAACTTCATTTTTAAATTTTAGTAAAGCAGTTTCTTCACACTCCTCCCATGTCTGCCACCAGTCTTTCAGTTTCCTTGAATTACAGAGGTAGAAAAATAGGCAAATATTGTAAAAGGTACCAAATACTTGCAAAATGTATCAGCACCATGCAAGGTAGCCGCAGCATTTCCATGATCCTCTGCAGCTTTTTCGATCAGGATATATATTTCTCTTTTTAAATCCACATCAGATTCCACTTCAGAATCTTTCTTTTTAGATTTAGGTCGGTTCTTCAAATCATCAACTGGAAACAATTTGCATATTATAGTTTTTTCTGATAAAATTTGAATTTGATAGTTTACTTTTTAGAGAATTCTTTAAAAGAAATGTTGTCAGTCGTAGGAAAAAGTTGCAGTACTTGTCACCTCCAGGTTGAAGAAGAAGTGCTAAAGATATTGTTGGAAGGCAAGCCTCTGGATGCATCTATAAAAATAAAAATATTCAAAAAACATAATATTCATAATATCTGAAGATAAAAAAATAGGGAAATGCCAAGTATAAATTTATTACATACACTTTTAATCTCCTGCATAATCGTACAGGCCGCCCTCTGGAACTGTGATTCCTGCTTCCTGTCAAGAACTGGCCAGCAAAATTTAAATTTTTCTGCACATTTTGCTTTGTTCCAAATATTGAGCAGGAAATAGATGACTTCATTAGATGCTTTTTTGTTGGAATTGGGCAAAACAAACACGTCCTGAAAGATTAAAATGCTTATAAATTTGTTACGTTCGTAAATAAAAATAAAAATTATACCTCACTAAGCAGATCCTGCAGGACATTAGAATGGCTGTTGCAAGACATCAGAAGCCTCAAATTTGCGTACAGAGTGGTGTGCACAGGCCCCACCTTGATTTTCTTGGTGCTCGCCATTGTTGGAAGTCGGAATCCAGCGTATTTTCAGACTGTTTTTTTTTAATTGCTACGGATTACTAATGCACGAACAAAACTTGTTTGCTGATTAAGCCAGGAAACAAGTTTGTTGATACCAGACAGTCGTCCACTACGATTTTCATTGAAGTTTCTTCCAAAAATGGGCACAAAACAAACATGCCATTGACAATCAGATGTTTTTTCGCGGCAATTTGCGGATTTAGACAATTTACCGGCAATAATTTGGATACCGGTTTTTACATTAATTTTTTAAATTTCAAGCAGTACTACAGATAATGATCAAAAAATATATTGTCATGATCCAATTGAAAATGAATCAAAAGTTTTAAATAAAAATACAACTTTTTTGCAAAAATAATCGTATAATTTCAATCTATTTTAAGAAACTTGGCTTCAGGCTTACATTTCTACCGGTTATACAATTTTAGAACGCCGGTATTTCCAGCATCGTGAAGTTAGCCAGAAATCCTAGCCAGTCGCCGGAAGTTAGCCAGTTGGCTGGAAATTGGCCACTCGCGTCATTTGGGCGGATGTATCGAATATCGATTCCCGATTTTTTAAAGTGGGGATCATAGGGGAGGTGAGTATTTATCGCAACTTTTTACAGTTGACCTTCTAATATTCTTCTCATACACCAAGTCGCAGCAATAAATCGCAGTGTTCTAAAAGTGCACGGAGGAAGGAATTTCAGAAGCTAATTTGAAAAACAGTTCCAATGGTCTTAAAAAAATTATATTTAAAAGTAAATACAACGAAAATTATATTTAAAAGAAAATACAACGAAAATTAATCAAGCCGAGGGACGCATGGGTAAAACTAAAAATAATGCAAAATCCCTAAGCCTAATCAACAATTGCAAATTTTTGTTTTGCGAATTTTGAAAAAATATCAATTAAAAATTAATGGAAATTTTAAATATGTAAAATAGGCAACAATCGATGGCTGCAACTTTATTTACACGAAATTAAAAATATTGAAAATTAAAACAATAAAACTTAAAAACAAATGCGCTAAAACCATGCATTGGAACTTAGAGAAATTTTAATCAAAGTTAACCTTCATCACCCTGAACAAGAAAAACTGCCAGCCATCGATGGCCGCATCATAGTTTATAACGAAAAAATAATTGAAAGTTTGAAAATTTGGAAAAAAGGCAATAAATTTTACTCGGAGCGGCATTGCACAAAAACTATGCATTGGAAGTTAATGCTGTTAATGTAATTTTAATAAAAGTTAGCCCTTATCATCCTGAATGCCTGAATGTAAAAATCTGCCCGCCATCGATGGCCGCATCACAGTTTTTTAAGAAAAAAATAATTAAAAGTTTGAAAAAATGGTAAAAAGGCAATAAATTTTACTCAGGGTGGCGTTGCACAAAAACAAAGGATTGGCAGCAAATGTAATTTTAATCAAAGTTAACCTTCATCACCCTGAACATAAAAAAGGGCCAGCCATTGATGGCCGCGACTTAGTTTTTTTATTTGCAAAATAATAAGTTAAAAAAAATTAAAAACTTTTCAAAAATAATGCTAAAAGTGGAATTGCTCGAATACTATGCATTGGAAGTTAATGAAATTTTAATCAGAGGTAACTTGAATCATCTTGAACGTAAAAATGTGTCAGCCATTGATGGCCGCGACTTTGTTTTTTTATTTGAAAAATAATAAGTTGGGAAAAATTAAAAAAAAAATCAAAAATAATACTAAAAGTGGAATTGCTCGAATACTATGCATTGGAAGTTAATGAAATTTTAATCAGAGGTAACTTGAATCATCTTAAACGTAAAAATGTGCCAGCCATTGATGGCCGCGACTTTGTTTTTTTATTTGCAAAATAATAAGTTAAAAAAAATTAAAAACTTTTCAAAAATAATGCTAAAAGTGGAATTGCTCGAATACTATGCATTGGAAGTTAATGAAATTTTAATCAGAGGTAACTTGAATCATCTTGAACGTAAAAATGTGTCAGCCATTGATGGCCGCGACTTTGTTTTTTTATTTGAAAAATAATAAGTTGGGAAAAATTAAAAAAAAAATCAAAAATAATACTAAAAGTGGAATTGCTCGAATACTATGCATTGGAAGTTAATGAAATTTTAATCAGAGGTAACTTGAATCATCTTAAACGTAAAAATGTGCCAGCCATTGATGGCCGCGACTTTGTTTTTTTATTTGCAAAATAATAAGTTAAAAAAAATTAAAAACTTTTCAAAAATAATGCTAAAAGTGGAATTGCTCGAATACTATGCATTGGAAGTTAATGAAATTTTAATCAGAGGTAACTTGAATCATCTTGAACGTAAAAATGTGCCAGCCATTGATGGCCGCGACTTTGTTTTTTTATTTGAAAAATAATAAGTTGAAAAAATTTTCAAAAATAATGCTAAAAGTGGAATTATTCGAATACTATGCATTGGAAGTTAATGAAATTTTAATCTGAGGTAACTTGAATCATCTTAAACGTAAAAAAGTGCCAGCCATTGATGGCCGCGACTTAGTTTTTTTATTTGAAAAATAATAAGTTGTAAAAAATTAAAAAATTTTCAAAAATAATGCTAAAAGTGGAATTGCTCGAATACTATGCATTGGAAGTTAATGAAATTTTAATCAGAGGTAACTTGAATCATCTTAAACGTAAAAATGTGCCAGCCATTGATGGCCGCGACTTTGTTTTTTTATTTGAAAAATAATAAGTTGAAAAAATTTTCAAAAATAATGCTAAAAGTGGAATTATTCGAATACTATGCATTGGAAGTTAATGAAATTTTAATCTGAGGTAACTTGAATCATCTTAAACGTAAAAAAGTGCCAGCCATTGATGGCCGCGACTTAGTTTTTTTATTTGAAAAATAATAAGTTGTAAAAAATTAAAAAATTTTCAAAAATAATGCTAAAAGTGGAATTGCTCGAATACTATGCATTGGAAGTTAATGAAATTTTAATCAGAGGTAACTTGAATCATCTTGAACGTAAAAATGTGCCAGCCATTGATGGCCGCGACTTTGTTTTTTTATTTGCAAAATAATAAGTTAAAAAAAATTAAAAACTTTTCAAAAATAATGCTAAAAGTGGAATTGCTCGAATACTATGCATTGGAAGTTAATGAAATTTTAATCAGAGGTAACTTGAATCATCTTGAACGTAAAAATGTGTCAGCCATTGATGGCCGCGACTTAGTTTTTTTATTTGAAAAATAATAAGTTGTAAAAAATTAAAAAATTTTCAAAAATAATGCTAAAAGTGGAATTGCTCGAATACTATGCATTGGAAGTTAATGAAATTTTAATCAGAGGTAACTTGAATCATCTTAAACGTAAAAATGTGCCAGCCATTGATGGCCGCGACTTTGTTTTTTTATTTGCAAAATAATAAGTTAAAAAAAATTAAAAACTTTTCAAAAATAATGCTAAAAGTGGAATTGCTCGAATACTATGCATTGGAAGTTAATGAAATTTTAATCAGAGGTAACTTGAATCATCTTGAACGTAAAAATGTGCCAGCCATTGATGGCCGCGACTTTGTTTTTTTATTTGAAAAATAATAAGTTGAAAAAATTTTCAAAAATAATGCTAAAAGTGGAATTATTCGAATACTATGCATTGGAAGTTAATGAAATTTTAATCTGAGGTAACTTGAATCATCTTAAACGTAAAAAAGTGCCAGCCATTGATGGCCGCGACTTAGTTTTTTTATTTGAAAAATAATAAGTTGTAAAAAATTAAAAAATTTTCAAAAATAATGCTAAAAGTGGAATTGCTCGAATACTATGCATTGGAAGTTAATGAAATTTTAATCAGAGGTAACTTGAATCATCTTAAACGTAAAAATGTGCCAGCCATTGATGGCCGCGACTTAGTTTTTTTATTTGAAAAATAATAAGTTGTAAAAAATTAAAAAATTTTCAAAAATAATGCTAAAAGTGGAATTGCTCGAATACTATGCATTGGAAGTTAATGAAATTTTAATCAGAGGTAACTTGAATCATCTTAAACGTAAAAATGTGCCAGCCATTGATGGCCGCGACTTTGTTTTTTTATTTGAAAAATAATAAGTTGAAAAAATTTTCAAAAATAATGCTAAAAGTGGAATTATTCGAATACTATGCATTGGAAGTTAATGAAATTTTAATCTGAGGTAACTTGAATCATCTTAAACGTAAAAAAGTGCCAGCCATTGATGGCCGCGACTTAGTTTTTTTATTTGAAAAATAATAAGTTGTAAAAAATTAAAAAATTTTCAAAAATAATGCTAAAAGTGGAATTGCTCGAATACTATGCATTGGAAGTTAATGAAATTTTAATCAGAGGTAACTTGAATCATCTTGAACGTAAAAATGTGCCAGCCATTGATGGCCGCGACTTTGTTTTTTTATTTGCAAAATAATAAGTTAAAAAAAATTAAAAACTTTTCAAAAATAATGCTAAAAGTGGAATTGCTCGAATACTATGCATTGGAAGTTAATGAAATTTTAATCAGAGGTAACTTGAATCATCTTAAACGTAAAAATGTGCCAGCCATTGATGGCCGCGACTTTGTTTTTTTATTTGAAAAATAATAAGTTGGGAAAAATTAAAAAAAAATTCAAAAATAATACTAAAAGTGGAATTGCTCGAATACTATGCATTGGAAGTTAATGAAATTTTAATCAGAGGTAACTTGAATCATCTTGAACGTAAAAATGTGTCAGCCATTGATGGCCGCGACTTTGTTTTTTTATTTGAAAAATAATAAGTTGGGAAAAATTAAAAAAAAATTCAAAAATAATACTAAAAGTGGAATTGCTCGAATACTATGCATTGGAAGTTAATGAAATTTTAATCAGAGGTAACTTGAATCATCTTGAACGTAAAAATGTGTCAGCCATTGATGGCCGCGACTTAGTTTTTTTATTTGAAAAATAATAAGTTGTAAAAAATTAAAAAATTTTCAAAAATAATGCTAAAAGTGGAATTGCTCGAATACTATGCATTGGAAGTTAATGAAATTTTAATCAGAGGTAACTTGAATCATCTTAAACGTAAAAATGTGCCAGCCATTGATGGCCGCGACTTTGTTTTTTTATTTGAAAAATAATAAGTTGAAAAAATTTTCAAAAATAATGCTAAAAGTGGAATTATTCGAATACTATGCATTGGAAGTTAATGAAATTTTAATCTGAGGTAACTTGAATCATCTTAAACG